ACGAATTATTTACTTCTTTTGGTTTCTGTGCTTTGAATGTGTGGAGTAGGTTGTGTATATAACAGATATTATTGCTACAAAGTGTCATGGCTGCACTAATGCATGTCACTGAATGGGAAACAAAAAAATCTATGAAGATCGATTGGATTGTTGGAAGTAAATAAAAAGCATTTGTGATGAATAATTAAATGACCAACAAGGGATAATATTTGTCAGATCAACTTGATCAAGCCAGGGTGAAAAGATAATGGTTTAGATTTTGTATAACAACTAAACAACAACTATAACAACTAAGGATTTGATTCTATTTGCACAACAACCAAACTGAGTTGATAAGAAGACACTGAGTTGCAGCCACATGTAGAGTGGCCAAGAGCAGTCATTTTGAACTGCACTCTGTAATACAGAAGGCTCAGATTTGATATTTTTAAGCAGGTCAGGCTTTATAATCGGATACATTTTTACCAAAAAATGAAGTTCACCCTGTAATCTCGTAAACATTACCATAGGATCTTAATATTTCACAGCCAAAGTGTTGACAGTAAATTTGATATCTTATTAAAAAAACAGAACTGATTACATAGCTCAGACAGGAAACATGAGCACTAATATTTCTTAAAGTGTAGTACAAACCTCAACCAGCCATGGCTAGCTTCAAAAATCTAATGTGATCTGATTTCACAGTCATGTCTTGACATGATACAGTCACAGAGTGACAAAAGTAAAACCTTTAAATGCATTAGCTTCTCCTCGATTCCCATATGGCTTATTCATCTCCTATTACAATAAAGGAAAGCTGATTCTTTTCTTTTTAGCACCTCTTCATCTAGGTGGGTGTGTGTATGCTAATACATTAGTATGCACACATCTGTCTAATTCCTGCGATCTTTAACAATTACATTAAAGGCATTGATGCTCTGAAATTAGTTCTGATGTTAATGGAACTAAATCTGTTTAACGGTGCACAGAGGAGGCTAAGAGGGTACATTGGTTATTACCTTTACAGCACATTGCAGAAGAACGTAGTAAATCAAGGATGCAATGACGCTACTGGAAACTAAAAGAGAGTGCCTCTGTTACTACAAAGGGCTTTTACTCCTGTAAACAAAGAGTTGTGGACCTTGGAACAAACTGACCAGCCATATTTTTGAAGAACATTCCCTGGGACCCTTCAAGAAGGAGCTAAATGAGATCAACTACCTGCTGTACTAGCAACAAAACACAGATATGGCAAATTAGTGCTTCACATCTGTAATCATAGTTGTAATTGCCTCATAAAAAATACAAATAAGAAAATAAACACTTCACCTTTGTCCAGCAGCAGTAATGGACTAACCAGTAGCCAGCGTTCTCCTCTAGATGAAACTACATTACTGAAACCATCCACTTGGGGGCAATAAATGCGAACAATTACGAATAATAAAGAGCTGCTGCCTCCTGTGGGGACTTTCTCTTTCCTTACGGCGTGAGCACACAAAATACACCTGAAATAAAAGGAGTCACAAATCAAAGAAAATGCCAGCATGGCTGTTTTTACTGTAAAAAGCTCAAATAAGACAGAGACACAAGGGAATGGGTACTCTCTCTTTCTGATCTTGAATGTTGGAAAGTTTCTGTTCCTTCAGTGAGTGAAGAAATCTGGGACTACGCCTTACAAGGACCTCTTACAGTGTACATGCTGAGGTGGCAGAACACTGCTGAGTCCTCAGGACAGCCCCTGACTAATGATAATTAAAATGGACAAGGAGCCACAGTTGTGCCATTACTCTTTTCATCTGCAAACTCCAATGATACTGCAATAGCCGAACCATGACCAGGTATGAGCTGCTCAGTTCGGTCATCATCGATTTAGTTCCTCATTAAGTTTTTTTTCTGCAGCAAAATACTTTATTTATCTCATTGACATCGGTTCAGCTAGTCTCGAAAGGATACATTTGATCATTTCAGAATCCATGATGAATCGAACTGAATCCAGTTCATGTGGCCGTCCATACATTCATTCATTCAACACTTTCCCACCATCAGGTTGACACAGGATGTGGTTTTGTTCATCAGTGGGGGAATTATCCTTCATGTACCCAACTCGCCAGGCAAATTGGTGAGTAAAAGCTCATCAAAGATCAAGCCCCAAATTTCATTTATTTGATCATGTCAACATCACCAATTCATACTTTGACAAAAGTATCTAGGCACCTGTACTTCAATATTGTGTATGTCCAACCTTTCTTTCCTTTGCATTTCTTTGTTTTTGTTAGTGTTGTGAGAGTGGTATCTTTTTGGGCATGTTTTTGACCATATACAGCTTTTACTGTAAGCTGTTCTACAATGTTTCTTTGTTTTTTTTCTTCTTCAGTTAAGTCTTCAAAATCTTAAATATAATCCATTCTTCTTTGCAGAGTTTTTGTTGCTGACTTTGCAGAATGTCTAGGGTGTTTTAAGAACACATGGCATAACAGATCACTGCCTGTTTGACTGTTCGTCACCTACTTAAAGAACATAATCTTCCTTGAAGTACAGAGATTCAACACAGCCAGCCAGGCGCAGACTGCAGTTATATGTGGTGACACATACAGTATATTTAACCTAGCTGAA